GGGCAAAAAATACGACTGTGTCACCTGATGCAAACACCCTTTGGAACTGCAGTTCGTCTCTAGGAACCAATGGTTGACTCGCCAGAGAGACGCACCAAAAGGTGCAAATCTGTTATTGTTGCTACTGTTTGGCTACCTGGAGAACAGCGAATCCGCAGAACTGCTTCAAAACCAATCTTCCTCGTCAGGTAACGGCGAAGGCCATCCTGAAAGCGTTTCATCTCCAACGAATTGCGAAACATGTGCAAATTCGGATAGCAATAAACACAACCACCGCTGAATTTTGCAACTTCGGCTAAATAACGAAAGTTACACATACAGACAATCCAAAGATGCGGTCCAATATCAAATCTTATTCTAAACATATCAAATTCAAAAAGATTTAGTGAAATATAAGATCTAAGGATCCGCTACAAAACAATTAACTATGACGCTAAGTGCAAACCTAACAAATGTGAGAAAATCGCTCTATCATTGGCATCACCTAGCGCTATACAAAGATACTGGCTACGATTCCTCTTCTAATCATCTTCAAAATAGAAGTTTTCAACACCTTCGATTATCAGTATGTTATTCTTCACCCGGTTTCGTACCCAATGTTGCTGATAATTCGCAATCATCGGAACAGCTTCATGGTTTATGAGCAACACAAGTTACCTGCTTTCAAAATGGTTACCTTCGGTTCTGTTCTCACATTCAATATATCATCTTTCATACAACTTCGCAAAATTCGCTGATGCGGGTTCAACGATTTATAAATCAGTCTTATGCATTACATTTACTGATTACACAAGAAACTTTTTTTATAACACTGCTACAAGCTTGCTGTCCGATTACTGTAAAGTCATGACTACACCGCACCGACTGGCAACGATAGAAGGGAAGGATGTCGTGTCATGGCGAACACAGTGGAATGTATTCTAAAGCATAGCGATCATATTCTCATCGTACAATAACGATAAACGCCTGTCATTCACTCTGAAGTGGTTCCATGATGAGGCAGTAATGATCGATTACGGGATCAGTACAAAAACTGCATTATCGAACAGGACTAGAGACCAAGATCAGCACTCATACTTCAGGAGCGCGTACTCAATTTGTACTCAATTCCACAGAAAAATTCGCTTGCCTTCGATGTAATCCATCAGTTGAACATTTAAGTACATTATTTCCATTCTAAAAGATTTGCGTATTTTATTGAATTCTATGACAGTTATGTGAAGTTGTCCTTCAACCCCACTTCTCAGATTAGACAAATAAATCATACTCACATAACGTTGCTAGATCACAGTAGTGTGAGCTCATTAGAAATAGATCAACAGCGATTTGATGGGCACAACAGCTTAATGCCAAATTCTTGTAGAAATCCGCTGCGGGGGCCAAATTTTCTACGTCCTTAAAAATGACATTCATAGAAATCACCAAAAACTCATCCAGTGTTCTGACTTGTACCTTGGATGCCCGAACGTTTGGATTTTCCCGACTTTGCAAAGCTCCAGGTCCGACTTCTGGCAAAACCGTGGACATCACCGTGACGCGGCCGCCGATATCTGCCTGAAGATAAGTAACAGTCTGCAATTCGTCATGAATTTTTAAGTTACTATAAGTTCTTCTGCTGCCAGAATGGCCGCACCCAATGCACAATGTCGCTCCTGCGTGTCAGAAAAGATATCAGGGAGGATCTTCAGAAACTTTAGCACGGCCTAAACATCTTCCACTCTTAACGAAAAACAGAAATAATTATATCCAGCTGTACTACATACCTCTTGCGAATTTTTGAGCTCAATCAATAGGTCATCTGACCAAGGGATGCACACTTCTGAAAAGGCAATCATTAGTCATAACTCGGGTTAACTAACGAAAGATCCCACTAAGACCAGATTTCACGGCGTATTCTACCGTCCTCTTGCTTCTAGTTGCCCAGGGAGGCCACTTAAGCAGACCACAGCTCCAAGGTATTTGAGCATCAGATCTTGAAGAAGGCTTTCGTCATTTGACATGAGTTCTACGAACACCTTATAAAGTGTGTGGCAACTTCAGTTAACAGGAATTCCAACAAGATAGGGTAAAAATAGCCACTGCTTTAACAGCCACGATAAGTTAGTTTTGATCTTACAAAAAAAGAAATAAATTATTTTACCATTAATTTAAAAACCGACTGTAAGTTCACCCCACAAGGAAAGAAAATGAATTGCCCTTTACAACTTTCAACAGATATAAAAAACAATGTCTTTTTTAACCTACACTATATTCTAAGGTAAATGTTTAAAAAATTGGAATGCATTGCATTCAATAAAAAGAATTTTGTTCATATAAAAGGCATTTCTGGGAGAGGTTTCGAATGACCCGCCAATTCTAAAACATGCTTGTCCAAAGACCATTCCAAACCTTCAACTGAAGTTTTAACATGTAGCATAAAATGGTCTGGTAAGTCAGGCGAAATTTCGCAAGAACTCTGATCTGCCTTACCCCCTAAATCCGTAACGACAAATTCTTTGATCGACGTTCCGTCAAGGAAATAGTAGTGAAGCGCAGAATCGACAGCGATGAACGCAACCACCGTTCGAGCGTCTCCAGGTACTCGATCGAGTTCATCAGTTAGCATTTGGCAAAATGTCTCCAAATAGCCTTAAACAGAAATAGAGCGAGCATTTCAAAGCCAGGAACAACAGAACTCAATCAGAAACAAGCCTACCTGTTTCGATCGCACTTGCCGAAACGTCAAACACGTAAACATAGCATGCCGGTTGAGGAGTTCTTATCTAAACAGCGGTACTTGAAAAAACAGCTTAAAGACCATTCTAAGTCTGGAATAAACAGGCAACGCTACTGATATTATATTTATCGCCATCTCCCATCACTTAAGTTTGAAATACGTTTTTTGTGAATACCTTCACACAGTGAGATCACAGACGGTAGTAAGCTCAAAAATAATAAATTTACTCAACGGAAGCTTTCAGAACCACAACTTAGTACTCCTTTATCACTGCGATAATCTGGCTTAGCGGAAGGTACCATGAGAACCCACTCCTGAAATACAACAAGTGAGGATCGAAGTATTAAGTCAATAAAATGGGACATGTCGACGTACTGAAAGTGTTCGTACATCCTTAGTCGCAATTTACTCAAAAGATGTAATGAGCATCTGTAAAGAAGGAGAGTCAGTGCAATATGCTGTGAAATTTGGTTTTCGATCAGTAAAGCAGTTATTAGCATACTCTGAAATCACAACTGAGACGTATGAATCTCTGAGAGAATATACAAGGAGTACAAACTTCTGCAACACCATTGATTGTGGTTGTTTACTAGCTTATACTCAGAATCTTAGTTTTCAGCAGCTCGCTCGACAGACCAAAAAGAACGTTAAATAGGCTATGTATACGTGGGCCGTAATAAGTAGAGAAGATTAACGGGGGACTTTACAGTCAAGGAAAAAAGCAACAGGAAATTTGTTCAAACTGCTGAACAGTCGTCAAGAGAGTGAGCGATGACACCACTGAATTCTGGCAGTGATAACAAACAAGGCATTCGCCATTGCTCTATCTAACAAATGATGCGATAAGCACCTATGTACATCAGGTACAGAAATTCGAATTCGATACTGCCGTAGCCTGCAAGTAAAAAATGTTATGTTGAGCATTAGGAAGCAAAGAAAATATGCCATATTCATGATACATTGTATGGCAGAGTTATGAGCTTACTAATCGATTTCATTGCACTACCAAACAGTACAACAAATATAAAGTTACGAGACAATTGTTCGATGATCACAACTCGATGCAGCAATTAAATACGCATTATCAATCAGTCAGTCAGTTTCGACAACCGCTCATATTTTCCGGTCGATGAGGAAGACCCGTCACTACAGTGTCTCCAACGTTTCTGATCCAGCGCCAGAGTTTCTGTTTCGGTGAAAGATAACTTGAACCTGGAGCAGAGACCTTCAGTACACTTGTTCCGCGTTATTCTTCGCTGTCGGTTGGGCAAGAAATAGCCTTTTCGTCTACCTTTCTGGAAGCATTTGCAAGACATATCCAAGCTATCGTTGATGTGATTTATCAATCACTGAATATGAACATTCAACTTGTAGTAAATATATATTATCAGGAACAATTTTTAAGCTTACGAAACATTTTAAAAAGCAAAAGAGTACCATATATTCTGCAGGAGCAATGAATTCGACTGTTGCGCTTTTGATTTCCGGTCGTCGTTTCGCTTCGCCGAACTTCTGTGAAGCAGGATCAAAATGGAACTCGTCAGGGACTACAAAGGAAAAAATAACTCGGCTATACAGTGAATACGAGACGACGGCGAGGTCGCGGGAGGAACATACGGTCGTTGACCCTCCCGCACATGTTGCATCGCCAGTGTCGCTGATCGGTGAAGCGCACGAACGGATTGATGTATGTACGACAGGTACGACAACGGACGATGACCGTCGACTGCAGTACGCTCAAGTGCTGAAACAAAAGCGATCGAAATCACTGATATCACCCATCACCTTCGTATTTGCCTTCATGTCCTTGAACGGATGTACGACTAGTCCGAAAGGGAGGCCACACTTCTTCAGTGAACTACTTGTCTGAGGCACGACAGACAGCGTACAACGACAGATACTAAAAGGTCAACTGTCAATAAAAACTTTCAATCATTAACGTACTCTGGTGAACAATTTACGTCAGAATATTCAAAACTTTGTTTCAGCATGATTTTTGGGGGGCACACGGCTTTTGAAGGCAGAATGTCTGTTGCCATCAGCAAATCGATTATCTTTTGCTCAGATGCCTAAAATGCACTTCATGTTGTGAATAACGCAAAAAACAACTTAAAAACAAATTTATTAATAAAATCTGCCTTATATGGACCACCCACTGATTTGACAAGAAGTGGCTTAAGAATAATTATATGATGAATAAAATAGTGGATATAATAATTGCCGTAATAACATAATAAAATATAGACAATATCAAAAAACTACCTGCTGAACTGAACCAGGCATGGTTGGAAATGTTCCGGAAGAAATAACGGGCATAAAAGGAGCAACGCTGCTGCGTCCGCTGGCTGCCGAGCAATAGAGATTTGCGTTCTGGCGTTCTGATGGAGGCAGAGGCGCATTCTGTTGCATGTTCATCTGCGACGGTCCACGAAGGTGCGCAAAGTTCCGCTGGGCAGTAGTCATCGAAGTCGTCTCTGACCTCGGATCGTCGGGCAGCAAAG